TATCAACCGGGGCATCATGTTTTTGTCTATAAGTAGTCTTTATTTCATTTTCTAACATTAGGGCTTTTTTTTTTCGTTTTTTTTTTTCGTTTCCTCCTAACTTTCAACCGTTCAAAAGTTTGTTGGATTTTCAATTCAAATGATGAAATAGTGTACTAGACTTGAAAATCAAATGTGATCATATCTAATGTTCAACGTTTTTCTAGCTAGAAGTTGATAGATCTATAACAATCTATAAACATCAGGGTTTTGGACTATTATAGCTATGTAAACTTGGGTCATGGCTAGCTAGTTCTGACCGTCTCTGGACAGTCGTGTTTTGGGATTTTCTTGTGACGCAAATTGCCAATTGTATGTTTTGGCTCTTGTGACTTCATGTGGATTCAAATCGATAAAGAAGAAAAAGACGAGGACGCTAATACGATAAGACTTCTTATCAGTACTGTATATTTTTAATTATTAAATTTAATTAAAATCACATTAAAATAAAAAAAATTGTAAAATTTTTACTTTTTCTTAATACAGATCTGATTGTTGAAAAAAAAAATTTCAATAAAATTGACGTGTTTATAATCTTTCTTCTAAGGTAAATAACCCCATTTTTTTGTTCCTTTTAGAGTATGACTGATTGTGTTACAAAAGGATAGTGTTGCTCAATAGTTGTACGTCCAAAAGCAATGTTAAAGCATTGACAGGAAATCAAACAAATGAGGACGGTAATATGATAAAACTTCTTATCGGTACTGATCATTTTTAATCGTTAGATTTAATTAAAATCACATTAAAATAAAAAAATATGTAAAATTTAAAATTTTTTAATTCATATTTGACCGTTGAAAAAAGAAATTTCAATAAAATGGACGTGTTTATAATCTTTCTTCTAAGGCAAATAACCCCGTTTGTTTTCCTTTTAGAGTATGACTTGATTATGTTACAAAAGGATAGTGTTGCTCAATAGTTGTACCTCCAAAAGCAATGTTAAAGCATTGATAGGAAATCAGACAAATGAATCCAATTTCAAAAATCTTTCATGTTAAGTTGTTCTCAATAAGGTTCAAAGGTCAAAATCCCTTCTTGAAGAAATCACCTTGTTTCCTTGTGGGCTCAAAACTCACTGATCTTCAGCAGCTTAGACTAATCATTATTCATAATTGTGAATGTGAGGAAAAGAACAGGCGATGTCAAAGTCAGCTGCACACCAAAAGAAAGAATGAGCAATTATTAAAGATGGTAGCATTAGTATATACATCTGTACCCATCAGCTGCAGACCATGGACCCAGCTCAGGAAAATATTAAAAACTGAATAGAGAAAGAAAAGTTTTGAATATTTAATATTACAAACAACAACAATGATAGAGATAATTTTGTATAGGCCATTAAAAAAAAAAACAAAAGAATTTAGAAGCAGGGTATGAAAAAACTTTAGCGGTCTACATAGTGTATGATTAGTATATGAGTTTCGCGACAGTATAAACTCATGATTTTAATTTTATTATAATATTTTTTTTTTTAAAAAGTTAAAAAAATTTAAATTTTAAAAATTATAATTAAGAACCCGTGTTTGAACCTATATACTAATGGAGTATGTGTGTGTATCAGGCTTCGTCATTCTTTTTTTATTTTAATTGTGATTTTAATCAAATTTAACGTTCAAAAGTATTTTACACTATACCAGCAAGTATCCTTACCGCGTACTCTACAAATAGAGCAGAGTTGTAAACCACCAACTTTTAACAAGTGTATTATTCTTTTTTTTTTCTTTTTTCCTCTTTTAACATTATATGATTCCCTATCACATAATTCATAGGCCCCAATTGAATTAAATATGAAAGAGGCGTTTTATGGGCTACAATATTTGTAGGCCAATTGCCATTGTCCAAGGAGGCTACTAATTCTAAATGCTAATTGCGGCTCTGTGCTTTTGCTTTACTTTTTGTAAAACCTAATAAACATCACTATCTATCACTAAATCGTTCGCCAAATTAGGGTCATTGCTCAGAGTATAGTGTTAGCTTTTTTTTACTAGGAAAAAGAAACTCAATCAACGAAAGTTAGGTAAAGAGTAAGGCAAGGACATACAAAAAAAAAAAAAAAAAAAAAAAAAAAAAAAAAAAAAGAGGATTGTGGAATGTGATTTATCCGGAGTTGGAAAATGTAATTTCATGGCGGGAAAGGATTGGAAGGAAGAAACTGATGAAGGCCCACAAAGGCCCACCTGGAGCAACATGTTAGGTATTGGGCCCAAAGTACTACTTATTAGTGGAATTGAGCTCATGATGTCGCTTCAAACTAAATTAATAATGGGAGAAATAGGTAAATAGGTTAAGACTTGAGATAAATTAAAATTAATAAGTTAATAGTTTACATAAGTTAATAAATAGGCCAAATTACTGTTTTTGTTCATAACTTGTCTGGTTATGAACCATAACTTGACAAGTTATTGTCCATAAGTCCATAACTTGTCTGACTATGAACCATGACTTGACAAGTTTGTCCATAACTTATTTGGTTATGAAACAATTAATTTCTATAACTAAAAACTGGCCTATATACTTTCTTAAGCTTTTCATATTGACATATTTTTTACTATTTCCGATTAATAATTCAGGAGCAAGTTAGATTTAAAATTAGCATGTCTTCTGAATTTTAGAAAGAATTCACTTCACCTTCTAAAGTATGTACCAGGATTCACTTCACCTTCTAAAGTATATACCTTAGTTTAAAATGCCCGTCACATTTATAAAACTAACAAATTGATGACATGACACTACCTATAAATGCCCTCTAAACTATTGATTTTAAGTCAATTTGCCTTCTAAATTATTACTTTTATGTCAACTTATCCTCTAACTTTTTAAAAGATCAGGAAGTAAGTTGGCACAAAATCAATAATTTATGGGTGTTTATGAAAAAACATTAGTTTAGAAATGACTTTTTATACTTTAAGGGGTGAAATGATTCATTTTCAAAGCTTAAGGGGATGTTGAAACAAGGTATAAAGTTAATAGGCATTTGTGAAATTAATCCTAGATACATTTATATATATGTATTTTCTTTTTCCTTCATTTCTTGGTAGGTAAGTTTTTAAAACCATGGTCCGGATTGGAACCAAATGTGAAAGATAACGTATCCATATTACTGTTAGAAAGGATGACCATATATGTATATTGTTGGATCATGTAGTCCACACAAAATCTTATAGTTAGATAATATATAACAGCTATACATCAAATCATAATGAAAGTTCACTGCCAATAACATGAAAACGAAACGTATAGGAATTCTTCAGCATAAATAAATAAGAAACCATCGCGTTCAATAATAAAAGACTTAATTATATATAGACTAAAAGAATTTCAAAAAAAAAAAAATCAAGAAATATCCTAGCATTACATGCCATATTAGTTTACCAATTCATCCTAAAAACTTAAACTATTAGGAGATGGGCCAACAATAGTCTTATATTCTAATACTCCCCCCCTCACGTGTAGGCCGAATAAAGAGATTTTTTTCTTCTTCTTTTTTAATTTTTCTATTTGTTGGGTTTTTTGTTTGTTTTTGCTATTTTGCAGTTCGGCCTAAGATGTGGATATTTTTTAAACGGGGTTAAAGAGTGCATTTGCAGGAGTTTGAACTTAGGATCTCTCGCTCTGATATCATATTAGTTTATCAATCCATCCTAAAAACTTAAGCTATTAGGATGTGTGATAACAATAGTCTTATATTATAATATGCCATGTAGATGTAGGGTCCGTCTAGTTCGCTGATTCGATTTTTTAATTCGAGTTGAGATGTGATTTTGTGTGAGAACTTTTTACTGTAACAAAAAAGTTAGATGTGACTATTTCTTAGAGTTTTTTACTGTAATAAAATTTAAATTCTAAACTCGAATCGGTAAAATGAATGAGACTGTAGTTTATATTGAAGCAACTTAGTTAATAATATACAATCCACTATGGCATCAAAATAGTTTGCAATTTGGCAATTTTTATTAAGCTTTAATTCCCTAGAATCATATTAATAATATTATGAAGTTACTTCTACTAATTGGGCAGATCAAATGGAAGAGGAACAATAGTAGGCCCTAAATTTTGCCGGAGAAATCAAGAAAACAAGCTAGTAACAAGAGTAGGCCCTAAGTAAGCCGAAAAATGATAATCTTATGAATATATAATCGAATTTCTTGCTCAGAAAAAGATGAAAATAGTCATATCTTGCTCTTGGGTAAGGTTGGATGTTCTTAATAAATTGTGAAACACCATCAATAATGATTTAGGGAAGAAGAATAGGGCTTATACAGGAAAATGAGATAAATATTCTTTAGAGTGCCTTACTTTTAATTAATATCTTTTTAATTAGTCAAATAGTCAAAAGGCTATTAATCAAGAGTAAAAGATAAAAACTCAGACTCATATACTCTATAGGGTATAAGTTCAACAACTTTCTCTTTTATATTTCTGGTTTCTTATTTTGTGCAAGCCCTTAGGGCTTGTTCATTTATTTATTTTTATTTCTTTTAAACTTTAGTATTTTGATTTAATAAAATGATTGGAGAATGTAAAATAAACTCTTAGTGAGTGGGAGCCAATTTTATTAGGATATGCTAAAGCTTGTTCCAGTTACTCTTTCCGAAATTTAATTTTTAGAAAACAAAAGTACATTCATCACCGTAAATTGTAGCAAAAAATATATCATCAATAATGTTGATTTTTGACTAAATTTACATTTAGTCACTAGTTAAGGTTGTCACTATATGTTCCTTGCATAAAAAACGTAATCATCACAAGTTGCTAGTAAAGTAAATGTTCCCTGCATCAAAAACTTAAAATCATCAAGATGATGGTAATATTTTATCTGTTCTAACATTTAACGTGCAACACTTTTTAGTCGAGTTAATATAACAAAATACGTATCTCATATGGCAGCATCGTGTAGCAAAACAAGATCATTTCATAAAGAACTATTGACTTAGAAACTTTTTTCTTCTTTTTTGCTGAGATATGTTGACTTTAAAGCTTGATCAGCAAACTATTCTGCATAAAGATTGTCTGAACGGATACTCTGTTGAACTTCAAGCACCAGTTCCTCCATGCTCAGTTGGCATTCCAACCCAATCTGGCAGTGAAATACAATATTACGTTAACATATATAGAAATCAACAAAAGAAAACCAGGAATAGAAACTTATATATATCACGACAATCAACAGATTTCTTTAAACGATTAACAAAAATGATAATTAGTTTTACGATCCATTTGTACGTAAAACTTGG